TTTGTACATTATATTTGTACATTAATTTCATTATTTCACAAATATATTCATATATGCTATTTTATTTCATGTCATACCATTACTATGTTTTCATTCAATCCTTAGAAACCTGGTCCACACTCACTTGCTGTGGATGTTGGATGTGGCTCTGGGCAAAGTGCAATTCAATTTGCTCAACATTTCAAAAACGTCATTGGTTGTGATGGGAGTACTGAACAAATTAAAACAGCCACCAAAAACAACATATACCAGAATATAGACTATAGGTGAAACCACGTAATGTTTTATTGTTCTGGGTAGCAAAGCTTCTTTGGTTGTGTTGTTAACCACAGAAGTAAATTGCAATCATGATTTTTCAGATTCGGGAATCTATTTTTGAATTATCAACCATGGAAACGACCCAAAGTTCATTATCAAGTATCTTTGTTTTGAGCCCAGGTTCGGAACAGCAGATGCTCTTCCAGTTGCGGATGAGAGTGCAGACCTAGTATCTGCCTCGAATGCTGCACATTGGTTTGAAGACATTGATGGATTTTATCGAGAAGTAAACAGAGTCCTTAAACCAAATGGCTGTCTGGCTATATATGGCGTGTCGAATATTCACATCTGTCCTGATAGCAAGAGTGATGAGTTACAAACAATGATCGATGAGGTACGTAGTGTTAGGACAATTACTCTTTAACTCCAAAGTTTAACGCACGTTTGCCAAGCGAAATCGACATCACCAAAAATACGTGATACGTCCACTCATTAATAAAACATTGAATACGATGTGTGTCGTGACGAAAGTAACTCATTGTACGGTGCAATGTTGTCATTTACAGAGTGCATTATTTTAAAACACTTATATCGTGTTAATTTGTTTATGAAATAAAATTAGCCAAATCACTCTTTGAAAAATTTGGATACCGAACGTCGTACTAATAACCCTGCTTTAAAAGTTATTTACAGTTTAAATAATTGTACTCTGAGATTTGTATGTATGCGTATGTCTCAATTTGTGTGGTCAGATACATTTCATACATTTGTTATTATTTAACTGTTTTGTTAGTTTTATTATGTAACACTGAACGACTTCTGGACAGAGAATTGCATCAAACTACATAAAAATTATTATGGTTTTTATCATCCCCCATTTCAAGTAGTTAAAAGGTAAATTAAACGAATTTGTATATAACCGGTTAATTTTTCTGTAAGTCTGTTGTACCTATGTTAAGCATTTATAATAACCACAGTAGAGTCCGACTGTTTGAGTGACAATACACAAATAGTCTTGTTTAAAGAACTTACCGGTTAATAAGATTCGTATCGTTTAATAACAAATATTTGATTGAGAAATACCACACCCATATGTTTTAAAATGCGATGTTTGATTGATGTATCGTAAACTAGGCACGCTGTTACTGGCACCATTGTTCATACATCTCAGAGCATATTAGATGCTGTATTCACGATATACCATTATATTACTTTATTTTATAGACACGATTGGATACCATTGCACGTGCGTGGCACAGTGTCTGATGTTATTGGTTATTTACGTTCCCTCACTCCCTGTCATAAATATATCAAAGTTAATCCACAAAGCAATGTGTTGCAAGAGCTTGAAGACAGGTATGTTTTATGACATTCTCGTAAACAAACAAACAAACAATCAAACATGTGTACCGTTGGCATGTGACGTCATCGAGGCAGTCTAAACATGATGTGCGACCGGTTATTTGAAATATTAATTTTAGGCTAGAAATGTTACAACTAATACCCACAGGACCCATTGATTGACCACTACTCTTAATCAAACCCATTGTATTTATGCTACTTGTAAAAAAATATGTATTTCATATGCAGAGTTAAACGGGAATTGTATTAGATACAGGTAACTGACATAACTGGTAAATATTCATTGTATAATGTACATCAGACATTGTACATAGTAGCTGATACAATAGATACAATGACAGGTGTATCCAATGTACATCTTCGATAACCAATATTCGTTTATTCGGCCATTGCCTAAAATAAGTATTCGGTCAATGGCTAATGCACAACACCTGGCTTTGACCTACAATATAAAGTTATTGCTCAACTGTGGAAAAAGTAGTCAAGTTCGAACCAACACCATCGTCCACGACATATGGATGTCCAGCGATTGAACGTATTCCAATATACCGTTATAAAAGTCATTTCGATTGTCACGTACTTGCATTTAATAACTATAGGTATTCACAAGAAAACAACCAAGCGTACAGTACATCTTTTGAATTTATACAATGCAACTAGTTGCTAAATATTTCAAGCTCATCATATTGTCCTGTGCTATTAGACCGAAACACTCGTTTATTTACAAACATAAATCCAGTTTTTTGTCAGCGTATTGTAAATTGCACTCAGCCTTCATTTTATGTCTGTAAACTCACACCTTCGAGAAGTTTTCTAATACATAGATATGACAGGCAAGACGACAGACAAACAACTAAAATGCATTACAATACTCGGTGAAATCATAGAAATCATTTAGGGTCTATGATGAAATCAGAGAGAGAACCCCGTCCAGGCATATGCACTCGAAATTATGGCAGGTGTTTCAACAAGTAATCAATTCTGATTCACTTGTGACACCCGCTTATCATTCCAAGTCATAATTAGGTAGTTAGTTTATGATTATTTATTTATTGTTTGTTTTTTTCACACAGGATCATGCGCGTTCTTGGCGTCACCTCATCTCCAGAACAGACGCCTTTGCACTACTTCTATCTTGTTTATCTAATCACTGCAAGAAAAACTTAGCATCCGACACCGTTTATCGCAATATCCAAATCCTACTGGAGTTCCTGGATTCTTACGAATATAGAGCTTATGTTATACATTCAAGACAGGTTCTCGGGATGAAATCAATTTCAGGTAGTCAGTGTTCCAACGAAAAATACGTGATAAATATAGTAAGGCCAACATTTGTATACAAAAGAGTACGTGCTCGTGAAATAGGAGGTAGATGACCTCATGTATTGGTCAAGATAGTATCACACAAAGATAAGATGCAAGTGATGAAAGCTACGCGTACTGTAATGGAGAGGTTTAAATAATGTTT